TGTGCCCCCTGCTGCCAGCCCGGCTGCTGCCGCCCGGCGGCCTCGTGCGTGTCCCTGCTGTGCCGCCCTGCCTGCTCCCGCCAGGCCTGCTGTGGCGGCTCCCCGGGCCAGTGCAGCTGCTGATGGATGCGGCCCGGGGCCAGCGGGCTGGCCTGCTGAATTGCCCCAGCACTGGGAGAGTCTGCTGGCATCTGGTGGCTTCTCTGCGGCTGTGCAGGGAGTCATGGGGGCCTGGCAGCCGTGGGTGCTGCCCTCTCCACCCTGTCTCCCTCCCCCTGCTGTGGGTCAGCACCGGCTCTGCCCTGGTCTTGACATGCTTAAGTCTGTAATAAAGGCCTGAGTCTCTCACCCCTGCCTCTGGTCATCATCTGTGTCCTCCCACTGGGTCCTCTGCCCGGGGAGAGCTGTGCCTCCAGGGGGGGGAGCTCCAGGGTGGGGGGGTCCCAAAAGGGGGGGCTTTCCAAGTCTGTGGCCCTGGCAGGCCTCCCACCCCCACCTGGGAGCTGCCACCGCGGGCTCCCTGTGACCCTGGGGACGCGGGGACCGGAGCACACTGGGGGTCAGGCGGCCTGGCCCATGCAGTCTCCCTTGGTGTCTCTGAGCCCTGCTAGGATGGGGGTTAGGAGGCTGGCAGTTGGGAGGTCTGTGTGTGGAGGCTGAGGGCAGGTCATGATGTGGGACCGCGTGGATGGACGCTGCCCGTTGTCCATGGGGATGCTGGGAGCTCAGAGCCCAGGGCAGGTTGGGTGTGGACGCGGGCTCGGGAGGCACCACGCAGTCCCGTGGCTGTCAGCGCAGCAGACGCGGGGGAGGGGCCCCGAGCGCTCGCCCTGGTGGGAATGCTCAGCACACAGTGTGCACACGGTGCTGTCAGCCACCGGCCACAGGCAGTGCCGCACATGGTGCACCAGAGCTAGTGACAGCGCCAGGGCTGGCACGCTGGCTCACGGCTGCCACTCCAGCAACATGGGAGGTGGAGAAAAGGAGGATCACAGCTCAAGGTCAGCTCCATCTTCAGAGATGGAAGCTGGACGCAGAGGTGCACAGCTGTTGCCCCCAAAACTACAGGAAGCCTGGAGGCAAACTGCAGCCCAGGCCCAGGCCTGCGCGGGAAGCAAGATCCTTGCCCTAAAATGAACCCACAAGAAAGAGGGCTGAGGGCGCAGCTCAGCGGAATAGCAGCTTGAGGCCTTGAGTTCAAACCCCAGTACCGCCAGAAGACTGGGAAGAAAAAAGAGGAGGAACAGAAAAGTCTATGAACCAGCTTTCTTTAGAAGGGACTGGAGGGTGAGGCCACGCCTAGCGGGGGGCTGGGCATGTTGACCAAAGCCAGCCCTGTCATCAGGAAGGAATTCTCTGGCAGGAGAGACCCTGTGGCACTGCCCGCCTTTCCCGCCGCTGACTTGGCTGCAGACTGTTTCCTAACACATCTTTTTGTTGTTGTTGCTGTCGGTCATGGGGCTTGAACTCTGGGCCTGGGCACTATCCCTCAGCTCTTCAGCTGAAGGCGAGCGCTCTACCACTTGAGCCACAGCGCCACTTCCGGTTTTCTAGTGGTTCATTGGAGGTAAGAGTCTCAACGGACTATCCTGCCAGGACTGGCTTTGAACCGCGATCCTCAGATCTCAGCCTGCTGAGTAGGATTACAAGCATGAGCCACCGGTGCCTGGCCATGAAGCCTTTTCTGAAGCCAGACAGAACCTTTGTTGGAGTTGAATTAGCCGCAGAGCAGGGCGTAAGCTCGGAGTGCCGAGGAGCCCCACCTTCTGCCCCGGGAATGGCAGGGCCCAGGCGCAGGTCTTCGGTCACATGCAGGTCAGGGCCTGGAAGGGGAGCTGGGGCTGCAGCCCATCCCCTGCCTCACGTGCTGCCGTGGGACAAGAGGCTTCTCCCAACACCCTCGCACGCCTGGGCGGGGGCCTGGGCACACAGAGCCCGCAGGACAGGGCTGAGGTGGACACAGTGACGGTCTGTGCACCTGAGCCGTGGGCCCGTGCAGGTCTGTGCACAAACCCAATGAACCACCCACAACCAGAACATGCCCACATGTGAGTGACGGACCACACACCTCCCAGGGTCGAGTTGACCTTCACAGAGGGGACGCTCCAACCGGAGTGACACTGGGGAAACCTCTATGCAAGCACGCGCAACATAATCCACGAAGAAGACTTCACAATGGAAACATTACAATGAAATTATACAAGAAAAAATCATGAGACTATCTCTTGTGAGGCAGGAAAATGGATCGCTTCAGTGGACAGGGTTAGACGGGAGACCTAAAGCCAACGATCTAAGCCTCTACCAAAGAAGCCACAGCGAGCGGCACGGGCCAGGCCCCGAGACAGCGGGAAGAAGCAATCAGCCCGGACGGGGAGAGCAGGAAGGAAGAAACTATCAGGACATCTAGAAAGCGACCAAGAGAAAAATGAATGTAAAGAGCATCTAGTGAACTGGTCCAGAGAAGGGAGAGAGATGCTACCCAGATGAGGATTGGAGACAGGGCTGCCACCAGAGTGTGCATCCGAAGGGGACAGTAACGTCACAACGTTGTGCTCGCGCATTTAACAACTTAAATAAAGGGACACAAATGACCAAAATGATCAAAGAAAATAAAGTATGAGCGGCCTCCTATCAGTCGAAGCGATTGCATAATAATCCTAATCCCGACTCCGCCACCAGAGCTACTATGGAAGAGATGATCTCCACCTCCCAGACAACTTCAGAAACCAGCAGCAGGGAAGACATGGTTCCCACCATGAGAGCAGAGGCCCACAGAGCACGGAGGAGCTAGAACCACCTAAAATCTCCTAAAAAAGCCAGCACATGGAAGCCAGCAATTTTTAAAAAAAGAATTATTTGTTGCTAAAGAAGTTTATATCTGCAATGTTAAGTTGTCTTAACATTTAAAAACCAACTAATACAGAGCTAGGTACCAGTGGATCACATCTATAATCCTAGCTACTCAGGAGGCTGAGCTCTGAGAAGCAAGATTCAAAGCCAGTCTGGGCAAGAAAGTCTGTAAGACTCTTTCTCTCCAATTAACCACCCCAAAACAAACAAACAAGCAAAAAACTGGCAGCAGAGCTGTGGCTAAGCAGTGAAGTGCTAGCCTAGTGAAGTGCTAGAGGAAAAAAAGCTCAGGAATGGTGCCCTGGCACAAAGTTCAACCTCCAGGACACACACACACACACACACACACACACACACACACACACTACCATATTAATGCACAAAAGGAGAGGCACGGTGGGCATCTGACGATCCTGGGATCCCAGGGATTTTTAACAAAAATTCAACATGTTTATTTAAGGAAATACAATCTCAGAAAATTCATGTTTTATGGGGTAAAACAGATTATTCTCCCCAAGACAATAATTTGCTCTCACAGGTCTACTCAGCTTCACACCTGAGTCCCTGCCAGGGCATTAAGATAGAAAGAAATGGCAGTGGCCTGGCGTGGTGATGCATGCCTACAATCCCAGCTGCTTCAGAAGCATGATTAGGAGGATCACACTCCACAGCTAGTTCAGGGCAAAAAAACATGAGACCCTCTCTGAGAAATAACTAAAGCAAAGAAGGGTTAAGGTACGGCTTGAGGGGAAGAGACCGGCCCCGAGCCTGTGGGGCCCTGAGTTCTCGCTATGGTGCTTTTCCCGAGTCTGTGTGTGCCAGCCAGTGCCATCCTGGGCCAAAGAGCAGCTCCTCTCCACCTCCCCAGTGAGTACCGTGGGGGGCCGGCACAGAGCCACCAGGACAGCCCGGCCGCGGTGTCCGCAGCCGAGGCCAGCAGCTCCCTGGAGAGGGTGTCCAGGCAGGTGGGGGGCACACGGGGCCGGACGTGTCCAGCAGCGCCCTGGGTGTGCAGATGTGCAGCTCTGGCCTTCTGAGGCCTAGTCCTGAGCTGCCCTGTGCTGCCCCTGTGCCCGGCCATGCCCAGGTGGTAGCTGCCTCCCTTGTGATCAGGAGGCTCTCGTTGTTCCTAGAAGCAGTGGCTGGAGTCCCGGGACTGCTCAAACCCGGTGTGGCACAACAGGAGAGGGAGAGGGGAATGTGGCGACCAGCGAGTTTACTGAGAGTGAGTGAAGTCAGGGCCGTGTGGCCCAGAGCAGAGGAGAGAGAGCGAGGAGGAGGGGGAGAAAGGAGGAGGGAGGGCGGAAGAGGGAGGAAGGAGATGTCAGGGAACACCTGAGACCCAACCTCAGGTGATGCTGTCTAACCCAGGTCAGAGCAGACTGAGGGGCTGTGTGGGGCACAGGCAGGACCAGCACCCACGGCCCCAGCCGCGCCCATCAGCAGCTGCACTGGCC